AAAAGAGAGAGTCTAGTTGATTAATTGAAAACAATTTTTTTAGAGGTATTTTTCAATTTAGCATTGTATGAAAATAACCCTACAAAATAATGTGTGAGTAAGGTTTGGTTTTATTAGTGTTTCTAGAAGTACTACAGAAGTGAAATGTAGGCTAGAAAGCCAAAAAAAGACTTTTATCAAGCAGTCGAGCAATTGAAAAGTGAACAAAAGTTTCTATTAGATGAAAAAACTTCTTCCTATTGACTTCACTGTCTATAATAGAAATTCTATTTATGCCTCTTAATTTTCGTCTTAATGACTACTTATTTTTGTTGTAATAAGTAAAAATCTTAATCTGTAATAACTTTTGTTGTTTAAGTTGTATAAATACAGTCGGCAATTGCGAAAGAAAATGACAAATAAATTTCAAGGTTTAAAAATGTATGTATCAAATAAAACACAGAAAAAAGTTCAAAACCGTCAAGGATTCCATTTTGTCGGTACATCCAGCAAAGCAGGCTGAATAGAAAGCATTTCCAGATCCCTCGTGACATACCGGGCTCCATTCTGGCTTACAGTAACAATCGGCATTACAATTCGCAATCAAATCTTTGGCACCACCTCTAATTTTTCTGTAACATTAACATTTATGACAAAAAATAGTAGTTTTAATAATTAACTTTTTTTCTCTGCATATGACTATTTCTTTTTCTCAACCATTCAAAAAATGCAGCACTTCTACAGTGATTATCCTGTAGCCTAAAAACATTTAAATGCATTCAATAAACTGATGATAAACATTTGCTGCAACTAAATTATTGCAAATAAATAAATGCAACGACTAATAACACCTACTCATTTTTGTAACTCAAATTAATGCCAATAAAATCACGGGCCGGACATTGAATTAAAAAACAGCTTGTAAGGATTAACGATAGTAATTGGCATACAAAAATCATTTTCAACATACCGCCAACCTTAAAAAGAATCTGCATGTTATAACGGAGAAATAAAGAAATCAAAACATTTAATCATTATGGTAATAATTTAATACGATAAAAATATACGAAAAAAAGTTTTTTTAAATTTAACTTCAAGAATTTTTAAAAAAGAAGAATTGTTTTTTTTGTTGAAAAAGAAAAATTGTTTTCTTTGCGCCAAAAAAATTCCAAATCAAAAGTGACCATACTTGTAAATTGAAAGATTTGATAAACGCTCCACCAAACAGTACACCAGCTGCAGCTGCGAAAATAACAACAGCTACAAGTTGTAATATTATCATATTTAAATATCAAGCTTATTTTATTGCATGCTTTGTGAACATTAATTATCAAAAAATTATTAGCAAATAACATACAAGAAAGATATGAAGCTTTTGCCGGTGTAGTACTGAGTACAGCTTCAATTATTTTTGGCATAAATGCAGCAAAACCGTTCAAAATAATCGAATCAAATATCCCCAACACGACGCAGGTTAAGAACGTTGGATTTCGTAATATATTCTAAAAGATGTTGAAATTAAAAACAACTTTATAAGCTACTAAATTTAGCAGTTACAAAGGCCAGTTTACTAGTATCTAATCGATTCATAGAAAATCCTTATCCGCGAGTATCGTTTGAATTTGATTTTTCTTTCAACTTCTGCACAATAATCGTTTCATTAATTACTTACCCAGATAGCTTTTGGCAAATATTTTATCTTCCCCTTCAATATCATATCATTGTCGTCCACTTGTGATACCGCATGTACCTGTAAAATCAACCAAACTGAAAATTTTAGTGAAAAAAAAAACAATTTCAGAAAAGTCAATTCAACTTTTTAGATGATAGAAATTAAAAGGCATCCTACTTGGTTAACGTCTTTTGCTCGATGTTTTTTTGCTTCAGGAAGCTCCCTTGCAAATGAGAGAATCGGAAAAGCTGTAAGAATACCACAAATAGCAGATACGAGAAAACCGATCCACCAAGCACCAAGCCATCGAGGATCTGACGAATCTTTCAGTGGTAACCTTTAAAAAAATAGTAGTATCGCATCGAAACTGTTTGTCAATTATTCAAAGTTTTCCAGCAGTTCTATCCAAAAGCATTCTTAATCATTATAATTCATTTTTCCTTTTCAGTACTCGTCAAGAACAGCTAATATAACTTCCTCAAGTGTATTAACAAACGGAAGTTTCAAAATGACTAAAAAAAGTATACCTGAAAGTATATCTGTGCACAAATGACAGGATTTAGTTCAAAAAACTAATTTACCTTGATGTATCAACGCGATCGAAGTCGATGTAAATGTTCAAAAGATATCCACCGATAAAAAGACCGATTACAGGTCCTACTGCAGTAACTGCAGCATTAATAGCTAAAAACTGTGTGTTCATTGTATTATACGTGAAATGTTTCATACAAAGCTATTTTTTAGCATCATTTTCGAAAAGCCGTCTAATCAGACCACTAACTTTTTAAAAAGCTTAGTTTTTCAGGCATTCAAATACAGTTATCACATGTATTCAAAAATTACTGTAAACTGACCGAGGTAAAGCGGTGAAGTACTTTGCGATATATTTTCATCAATGTAAGCAGTTCCTAATGAAAATAATGGTGTCGCACCAAATCCGTGAAGAGTTTGTCCGAGAACAAACAAAAGGAAATATGGATTCAAATATGACGCTGGTTTTGCTTCTTCAATGTCACATACAAAAGCACTTTCGTCTCTATAATGTTCATAAAAGCAATTAAAATATCACTGATTCAAAACTGCAATAGCTAAAAACACTATTCTATTACTGCTTCAGACAGTAATTCAAGTTATGAAAAAAAAAAAAAAACTTTTGAATAATTTTGAAGATATGTCCATTATTCTGAAGACCGGTAAAAAACTGGATTAGCCGATCTTATATTCTTACACTCACAACTGACCTGTAAACACACTGACCGTAATCAGCAGCCGTCTGATTTTCCTCTTCGACATGATAAGGACTACTGATGTAATGCGGTAGGGTACAGACGAATGAGCCAAGTCCCATCAAAAATGTTCCGATACCTATCCACCTTCCTTTATGTCCTGAAATCTTATATTGAAAAATCCGTAAAATACTCTGAGATTATGTTACTTTTCTGATATTATATGTTATTATACAATCATTAGAATTATATAAGTAACTGTAAAACGAATAATTCTGAACTTTATCGATCTGATAATACTATAAATTCTTTTACACTGATGCCCTAAAAAATTAACGAAATTTCTGTGTAAATCATTGTCAATTTTTACTGCTGCTCAGAGTCGCACAAATTTTGCAACAAATATTTATTCTTATTCTGAACATACTTAAGACTGTTTTAAGACTATAGATCTTTAGTGTAATGCAGAAAAAATTTTTTTTGTTTAAAAAACGAAAAAAGATTAGTGTTTAGAAACCATAATTGAATTTCTTTTTTCAAAAGACTCATCTTGCTTCCTTTTATTTGGAATCAAGAAAAAAATCTAACCACTGTTGCCCCAATTGCAGACCGGAAAAACAGCTAAAAGTACTGCAAAATCATACCAACTTGAAATAATTCCAGTTTGAGTGCTGCAAAAAAAATTAATAATAACAACAATAATGATAGTAATAATAATAATAATAATAATAATAATAATAAATAAAAACAAAAGAAATGACTTATTCAACCACTTAAAGATTTTTAAAACTAAAAAAAGAAAAAATTTTTTTGGTAAAAAAAGAAATTTTTGCAATTATTTGTCATACTTACCTTGTCATATGAAACCTTTTCTCCAGTGTCGATAAATCAACTGGAAATATAGCATTAACAACAAAGCTTTGTACAAATGAGCAGATTCCAAGAACTGCTAACAGCCAACGTGTCGTATGAAACCGTTGAAGCCACCGTGGTGTACATCTGCCAGACTTTCATTTATTATTTACTATTAGCAGTATTTTTAAGACAGTAAATCAAACAAAAAAACTTCCTACTCTTACACAGATTGACCTGTAAGTATCATCTTAAAAAAGTTACAAATAACTGCGGAGAAAAAGTATTGGTGCTAAACTCGCTTAAGTTTGCAAATACTGATACTCCACTTCAAAAAGGCCAGCAACTTTAAAAGAGAATTTCCTTCAAGACTTCAGTTTTCTCACTTTTTTTTTTTCAAGTTTAGATCTCATACAACAGACAATGTTATACCTTCCATAACCACATAACAGCTCACGGTCATCACTATCCTGTGTCATAATACTCGAATGCCGTGATATGGAATCTACATCTGTGGACGAGCAAGGACGAGGCTCCATTTAGCCCGGGT